ACTATCTTAAATGCCGTAGGGAAGGTAGGCAAGCCGTGCTGCCTAATTCTGCCATAAAGAAATTCTGAATTTCAGTTTGAATTGGAGGCATAGTTACTTTTATACGTAATATATGTAATTGAGAAGTTGTTCACATCTCATAGTGGGTGTTCATGTTGCGGTTTCAAAGGGCCCCGTTGACCGCGTTGTTCGATTTACAGCCGAGTTGGAATACCAAACGATCCAAATAACAGGATAGAAAGCAACTCCGAACATACAGTTTTTTAATGAAAACATCTTTAGCGCCGTCGTGATTTAAGGGTCAATGAAAAAAGGATCCAAAAAAAGAGGCACACAAATCCGTATTTAATTTTGGCCTGCAAGAAAATAAGATAGAGTACTTCTGAAGATTCCACTTTTATTTCGTGCGAATTTCACATATGTTTTTACAGATGATATTTTTAAAATTTGCCGTGGTTTATCTCTAGTTTTCTAACCAACGAGGGGTTTTTAGTCCCATCCATTTAGTATATGCCCTTCACGGCTGAGTTTTCCACCCGCTACAGTTGCGTCGATATATATAATGTTATAAATATTGAATATAAATAATGTGCGCCCATATTCATTCTACAGTCCATAAAATACCAATCGATCTATAGATCCGTTGGAATCACGACACACTACCGTATTTTTTTATAGCATACGGACTTCCCCAGATCTTGTTTTTTACCATGATAAAAAAAAAACGTATCTATACCAATATTATAAAGAGGAAAGATTTGTTTGTTTGTTTGTTTCGAATAGGCTCCGAAACTACTGGACAGATTTGAAAAATTCTTTTTCCATTAGAAGCCGACATTGTCCCTGATGAACATAGGCTACTTTTTTTTTTTGTTTCATGTGTGTTTTAATGTTTCCGAAGCGAAGCGAGGGCGGGTCGCTAGTGTGTTAATAATTTCATCCAAATCGGTTCAGCCATTTTTGCGCGATTGACTAACAAACATAGAAACATACAATGATTCGCATTTACATTTTTTTTTTATGTCTTAGGTTGGTGGACGAGCTCACAGCCCGCCTGGTGTTAAGTGGTTACTGGAGCCCATGGACTTCTACAACGTAAATGCGCCACCCACCTTGAGAGATAATTTCTAAGATCTCAGTATAGTTACAACGGCTGCCCCACACTTCAAACCGAAACGCATTACTGCTTCACGGCTGAAATAGGCGGGGTGGCGGTACCTACCCGCGCGGACTCACAAGAGGTCCTACCACCAGTAAATTTTAATAATGTTAGTAAATATTAATAATGTTCCAAAGTATTTACCTCGTTGGTAACAAAATCCCACAGAATACTCGTACAGCCCAAATAAATGTTACCCATTGAAAACATAATTCGCTAATATTAATAAATAATACATATCATAAGACATTCACATACAAATGGCTTTTGTTAATTATGTATTCGGTTTTAACAGAATATATTTCAAATTTTATCGTTGCCGTTTAAATGATTTGCTCGTGTATGATAATTAATAACAACCGGGTATTAGTTTAGTTTTGCGTTTGAAATGAGAAAAATATTAATTTTACTCATTTTTTCTTGATGATATGTTGACTTCATTAATTTATTCTTTTGGAACGCTCCATGTGCCATTTACTATGATGATTCGATTATAACTTTTCTTGCTATTTAAAATATCATCATAATCGGTTGCTCTTGGCAGAGCAGCCGTGGTCATGTGGGATTCTTGGTTATTAAAGCCTGCACAGATGATTTCCATAGTTTGCGAACCGAGGCCCGGCGCACACACTCGTTAAGTGGGGTTTCAGTAAGGTCTTTCACCTGATCAGTCAAACGCATGGGGATTCATCCACGAGATCTCTTACCATTGACCCTACCCTGAACAACAAGTTTTTCGATAGACTGTGCTGGCCGTCGCGATACGTGTCCAAAAAAATATTGTCCAAAATCGAACTTCAAGTGAGACAACAAGAATTTTCCAAATCTTTCTCGAAACCTATGACAGTTAGAAGATCGCGAACAGATTCTATACACGTTAACGCACAATACGTTGCGACCAAAAATATTAATGGTTTTTTATTGTCTTTAAAGGACAGTCACACAGACACAGACGCAGTCATTTCAAACAATACTACTGCTTCTTCGTCGTCCTCAAATCTGATGCCTCCAAGCTTTCTCGGAAAGAAACAGAACATACACAAGGCGCATGGTCAAAACTATATCATGGGTCAATAATTCCAGTCCACAAGATTCAGTACTTCGCTGGGTTGAATGTGCAGATCCATTATTCTGTGTGCCAATTAAAAAGGTATCAAAAAAAGACCTCGGCTACTAAATACTAAAATATTACGTACCCAAGCGAGGATATTTAATCTCGCATCTTTGAGGTCCTCTTATCAGGTAATATTGGTAGCGTCTTCTATAGCGCAAAGTTAATTAAATAAATTTAAACAAAAATGATGACACTCGACAAATAGTTTCCTGGCAAACACAATCTATCCGTTTTTAAGCCTTATTGTGCACTTAACCTTTCATCAAATATCGGTAGAATAATTTATGCGAGATACTTGACTATAGAGAAAGCAAAGAAACAAAAGAATTCAGTAATGGAGTTTAGACCACTATATTGTAACTAATTTTTTTGCAAAATATTGAGGGCACCATTCCTTTATCACTGTGAAACGAATTATATTATAGGAATTATTATTATTATATTAATTATATAGTTAGGTCATATGAATGTAACAAATTGGACTATTACCTTTATGAGTTTACGTAATGACACTGAATCTGTTTCGGCTTCGATGTCATCATAATCAAGTTTATGGTAATGTCAAAATATCGAATGATAACTCAACAAGCGTAGCACTTATGCCAAAACATTCACAGTCCTAGAATCGGCGAAACAAACAGCCGTGTTGGCTTTGTTGCTTTGCCAAAAAAAACTTTTTTTATACTCTGAATAATCGTAATACAATGAAATGGTCTACGAACACTTCTTCACATCTAAAGGTAGGTGTTTGTTTATATCAATCAGTAGGCTGATTCTCATTCATGATAGTGGTTAGCGTTCCGTAGAGTCTCCGTTGGATTTTGGACCGGAGGTACGTTTGTTAAAGATGCATGACATTCAAGATCTGAGCCTATTGCTTTTATTTTTCGCACGTACATATTTCAAACACCGGAGAACACATAATAGTGAATTAAAAAAAATTTATTAAAATTGTCAACTTAAGGCAAATTAAATTAAATTATTTATTAAGCGTCTTGCGTTATAAAATTCTTCTCAGATTCAATTGCTTTTCTGATTAATTCTGAAAGTAAAAATCGATAGGTGTGATACCAATAAAATGTACCAATTTATAAGTACATTTTACAGTAATAGGGCACATATTGCGTACGAGCCTAAGGTAAATCGAATTAGATCTATTTCCCGTTTATAATCGTCATATCTTTACCATTATTAACGAACGGAGGAACTGCTTGTAATCGAGTAATCATTTTGCTTTTAGATATTGGCAATAAAAGTAGTATATTAATGGCAACAGTAATCTATACTAATATATAAATCTACAGTGGTTTTTACGGATGTTCCGTTATAACTACTGAACCATGCATCCGACTGACTTGAAACTTCTTGGTGTCCATGTAGAAAATACATGTATTTAATGGATAGGCTAATATTTATATGAGTGTTGGACTCCCTATAGCAGTTGCGGGGGCATTAATGATGAGAATCTTTGTGGGGGTGAGAAATAATAATATTAATTTTAAATGCCCAGCGGAGCGGACGGGTACAGCTAGTGTCCTCATAAGGCTAATTCGACCTTATTTTTGTTGACATCGACTTTCTAAGTGATTTGGAATCCGCATTGAAGTAAGTTTAAATCACTGGTTGGCAGCTATGTGATAGCTTTCGGTGATCATCTCATGTTTCCTCCTTCCGAATGTTTTTTTTTTTTATTGCCCTTGTAGGCAGACGAGCATACGGCCCACCTGATGGTGAGTGGTTACCGTCGCCCATGGACTTCAGCAATGCCAGGGGCAGAGCCAAGCCGCTGCCTACCGCTTAATACTCTCCACAAGCCTCGTTTGAAGAACGACATGTCATAGCGCTCGGGAAACACCGTGGAGGGGAGCTCATTCCATAGCCGGATGGTACGTGGCAAAAAAGATCTCTGGAAACGCACTGTGGATGACCGCAGTGGCTCCAGGTAGTATGGATGAACTCTACTCCGGTGGCGGGCGGGGCGATGGTAAAAACGAGATGCTGGTATCATCTCGATTTCCGGCTCGGGTACCGCAAAACATTCACGCAATGCATTACTGAGCTACTTGAAGGACAATGCGGTAGACAGACTACTGATTACTACTGAACGCGCATAATTTGTTTATTCAATGCAATTAATTGAATTATAACATTCACGTGTTTAGTTTATATTCAGTTTGAATAAAATAAGTATTTATTTCTAAAATTTTTGTAATTAATTTTACATTTAATTTTGTATCTTGGTAGTTAACGTTGTACCGTACTAAACGATAAACCCTTAATTTTTCGATAAAATCCATCATTAACATTAAAATTCCCTTAAAGTATTATTAAAATTCTTCAATAACGTAAAATAAAAAAGTTTGTTATTTTGTATAAGCCGTGGAAGAAAAAATATATTCACACATCAAAATCCGTTAAACACAGCAGTGCATAGAAATGACCGAACTGACTGCAGTAATCATAGGCCTACTAATCATTCGTACAATTTCTAATCGGATGTAATGAAAGAAATACGTTGCTCTCGTTCTAATATTGGTCGCTATCTCTTTCCGAACTATGGCCTAATGTCAAAGTTTCGAGGCATCGCTAGTAGGCAGTCGTGTACTATAGCGGCTAACTAAACTCGCACGCACGTCACGCCGGTAAAATGATCGCACAGGTGCTTAGAACAGAAATATAAGCGTTCGTTTTGGGAAAAATAAATTAGATAGGTTTTCGTGCCGGAAAATGGGTAAAAAAGCTGATAAGACAAAGAGGAGCGCCGATAACAGCCCTGAAAAGAGTGAAAGCCCTAAACCTTTGCAGAGTACTTCATATGTAAGTTTGAAGATCCATAATTCATTAATTGCCGCATTGCTGTAACTTCTTCAAGTAATTACTAAATAATTTTACTATCGAAGAACATATATAAATTTTGAAATACTTAAGATGCTATTTGAGCTGTTTTAAATGTAAATATTTCTTATCTAAACTCATATCTCGTGAGATAAGCATTAAATTAACAAAATAATGCGAAAACAATTTGATATCTAATGTAAATTTATGATGATTTTTTTTGCTGCCTAATATGAAAATGTATTTTTTTATACATAGATGTGTTTATAGATTTGTAGCAAATGAAATTCCATAGAAATTCTATCATTAATTTATATATCATTATTTATATTAATAATTAACGCACCAACAAGGTACCCGAACATTTTGCGATTGCACCATATTTATCATTACGAAGTTCTATAAAGTTTTTCGGGACTAGACTATTGGATTTAGAATTATAATGCACTACAAAATTATAAGTTTTAAAAATAAACTCAATTAGAGGTATGTCAATTTCAAAAGTGACTTCGTATTTTGCACTACGCAAAACCTAAGTAGACATTAGCTAACTATTCAAAACTTAACGGACGGGTAATATTTAAAAATATGATTAACGCAATTTTAATGTTACATTTAAGTGACTACTTAATTTTATTCATTAAAGGTTTCCATTTCTTTTTAAATCAATATAGCTTGACAAAAATAAAACAACTAAGTAAAGAACTTTCATTAAAATAAGTATTATAGAGTCAAAGTCTTTAACAATTTATTAATATCTTTTACAAATGTATACATTAAGATCTTTTTCTAATGAGGCTGGCGAAGAATACTCCGTGCTAATCAACAGCTTGGCTCTGCCCCTAATATTTTTAATGTCTATAAGAGACGGTAACCACTATCAGGCAGGTTGCATGCTTGTCTACTTACAAGGGCAATAAAAAAAACAGTTTCAAACTGATGTTATGTGAGTACCAACCCTCTGATAGGCCTAATGACGTAAATGATGCCGGGAGGTTTATGAAGTCGAGTGATATTGTAATCTTATCCTTACCTACCGATCCACATTAAAAAATCTCATATTGTGGAGGCTTAGCCCTGCGGCTTGTATATCAAATCCACATTTCACTTACATACCTTTTAATCTTACATATGTTTTACAAATACATATATTTAAATTAAGAGTCGGATACGCAAAGAACATGAAAAACTTGTTTTCGGTAAAACAATATCGGATTATACGAGTGATATACATATGTAATTTTTAGCTGTGTAAAATTTCAAAAGCCTATCCATATATTTGTAAGTTCGCGTGCAAACTTTCGATACTTTCACGCGATTCTTTAAAAAAAACACACCATTTTAAGTATTAGAGTTCAATCATCCAATTCTTAGCTACGTCCAGAATATCAAGTTGCCAGAGTGAGAGTAAGTTATTGAATCAATTACAAAATTGATATACAAACAGTACATACAGTACGCCAAGAGTGAGCTTATAAAAAGTGGTAAAAGAAAACTCATACCGTGAACTTGCGATGAATGTGTGAATCGCAGCTACGATTCTCGTGTTGCTCTTGACTTGTTTCGTGATTCTCGGGTGAATGTGGAGAGGCCTTAACATATAGTAGGGGGCAGAATAGTATTCCGGATTCCTGTAATGTTCGTTGGAAATATTCGATTTTTTTTATTAATAGAAGCGTGCGTGTTTTATAACTGATATTTTTTTTCAAAAGCGCTACTTTCCCAGCGGTAAGACGTATCGAGTCATCCTGATGCGGAGCAATTATGTATACTGGGCCTTCGACATAATGTCTCGACGCCCGCATATGGACCCTGGGCCGTTTTATTTGTTCACGGCCGCTGTATTAAATACGACCATCACACGAAACTCCAATAAAAACTTTTTGATAGAGTTGCCAACCCTAATTATTGAAGATATTTAACATATTACGAGCATGTGATTTGAGAAAAATTTGCTGTATGCTGAGCCATTATAATCTATTAACTTTAATGCTCCCAGATAAGTTTGAATGTTGAACCTGTGTAACTATGACAAAGAGTTGATTTTCGTAAGAAGTGAGCCGAAACAAAAATGGCTATTTTGGATAAACGTGACGGAAGCAATTGAACCTAACGTTATAGATCAAAGCAACATATCTATAAATGCCTGATTTTGGCATTAGATTAGTCGTTTGTCCAACGAAAAAACTTATAGTGCATACTCTGAAATTCCAATCACTACGTGAGAATAGCACGACGCGCGTGATTCTCTTCTACCTTAAATAAAGTACATGTAAATATTTGATTCCTCGGAGCCCTTGTCTATTGATGGATGTATTACAACTACAGTATTGCAACTAACCAAAGACCGGTTTTGACGTTGATTTGACTTTAACTAGTGATTTTTACTGGTGGTAGGACCGGACAGCCGTTGTAACTATACTTGAGACCTTAGAAGTTATATCTTAACGTGGGTGGCGCATCTACGCTGTATATGTCTATGGGCTCCAGTAACCATTTAACACCAGGTAGTCTGTGAGCTCGTCCAGCCATCTAAGCAATATAAATAAAATAATTAATAAAAATAATAATAAAAAAAAGCTCCTGGAATAATTCTGGAATACTTACTTCTGGGATTGCGGCGCCATCTCATGCTATATTATATTTTCCTTGTAGGTTCTTGTTAATATAATCGAATATATCTTGGTTGCGTGAACTCTAAACTAATATTGAGATTTCTCAAACTACGTTTTGCGGTTTAATCGGTGTTACATTGAAATTTTAGAAGTGTTAGATAGATATACTTAGAGAGTAGATATCTTAGTCTCAACTTCAGTACAGTTTCTTTGCCAGTTTATTTTTCGTGTTATTATGTGACCTAGGTATATATATAACTTTGTTTTTTTCCTCTGTTTATCAAATCTGATGGAGAATTATATACATATTATCAAATAGGAAATGCATTTTTAAATTATAACGTAGTTGATTTTGCAACTAGACGCTAGGAAGCAATTGCTTTAATATCTCATAGTGGGTGTGGTAACAACGGCCTTGTCTATGGGTTCCTATGACTGAGCTTGCTGGTCTATCTACCAGAAAAATGTAATGAAACATCTAGTTAAGATAGTAGATAAGTGAGTTAACATAACGCAACCTACTTTACTTTACTGGTGGTAGGACCCCTTGTGAGTCCGCACGGTACCAACACCCCACCTATTTCTGCCGTGAAGCAGTTATGCGCTTCGGTTTGAAGGGTGGGACAGCCGTTGTAACTATACTGAGACCTTAGAACTTATAGCTCAAGGTGAATGGCCCATTTATGATGTAGATGTCTATGGGCTCCAGTAACCACTTAACACCAGGTGGGCTGTGAGCTCGTCCACCCATCTAAGCAATAAAAAACAAGACCACGCTATATTAAACATTAATAAAAGCAAAACATTAACTGTCCCCTTCACACTCATAAGCTAGACCGCGCGAGAGAGAAATGGGCAGACTTTTCATGATGCGCATGCAGTGTGACGTCACGCCACGCGCTTATTCACAAACACTACACAAGCGCAACGTGTGAATGTGTTGAACGCGAGCTATATAGTAGGCGTAGTGGGGTGTCAGGTTATTTTCGTTACGGAATTTCTTGATTCAGTCGCCGCGCTCAAAGCCCGCGATAAAATCTATGCAATAGCTTAAGAATAAAATAATAAACTACTTCTTATTTCACAGGAGCTGTTGCCTGCAGACTTAGTCTATATAGACAGCGGCATCAAGACCAGCCCCGTCAAGTATGACTCGTTATACCCTGAAGTGGAGGAGGTGTTCGGAGTCCCACGTTCGCCTCGACCCTGCACCCTCGTGTGGAGGGATGTGACAGTGCACGTGAAACTGAAAAATGGAAGATTGAAACGACTAGTTAATAATGGTACGTATAAGTTAGAACGTCCTATAGTGCGTCCCGATGTCTTAAAATATCCTATTATAATATTGTTTATGATCAGCCCTCACCACCATCCGGCCGATTTCTGTAGCGAATGGCTCATGTGCTTCGAGAAAAAAGACAGCAGTTCTTCTATTGATTTTAAGATTTTGATCAAACTTCTTAGTAATTTACTTCTTAAATAATTATCGGTGTCGGTAAATAGTGTTATTTCAGTAAGCCTACTTACGCATAAAAAAGCGATGGTTACCAGCCAATAATTACAACAAAATTAGCGCAGTTGAACCAATGACTCGCGATTTTTGCTCTATAAACCCAAGAGCACATTTTATTAGCTTCAGATTTGATTGTTCTCGTGCGGCTAGTGTCTGTCTGTCTTCGGTGGCGATACCCACAATTACTGCTAATTCTCATCCTGAGACAATATTAATATTTCTAGTTCGACAAGTATAACTACTACTCTGGCTTCCAAACCACGATGTCCTACATACCTAATTGATAAAATATTTTCTCGTCGAACCCGTCGCTTGCGACGAAGGGTTCGGCTAATAAACTAACCCATAGACACAGCCCACTGAGGTTCTTACTAGATCTTCTCAGTGGGTCGCGTTTCTGGTCTGCTGGCAGATTTTGCGAAACACTGCTCGTGCTAGGGCCCGTGTTAGCAACACCTGGTTTGAGCCCCGAAAGCTCACTTACACGCTAGAGTAACGCTGATATAGCCTCTCAAGGCTATCAGCATAGGTAGGAGAAAAAAAGATAAAATAGGAGCTGTGTATGTGTGTAGAATTTAAAAGAGTTGAAGTAGAAAAGATGGCTACTGCTACCTAAAAAATTTTCGGAGGCCCACACACTTATCGTCTGATGAATAATCGAATGTGCTATTAAAACTGCGATCCGCTACTCTCAGTTGTTCAACAAAAGTTTAGCATTCAGAATAAAACTAAATTGAGTTTTAGATAGCATTGTATAAAATATTTATTCAAAACAAACATATTATTTAGCAGAATTATTATACAAAATATAAGCCATATTTCAAGATTGACTGACGGGCGCCTCCTTTCGAATTCTAACCTGAATCAGAAACTTAAATACACGTGGAAAGTAATATTTTAGAATACGTGATAATTCACACGCTCGAGCTTACACGTGTGGTGCTTTCACAATGACTTTCAAAGTCCTCGGCCTTAAGAGTTGTTACAGAGATTCAGTACTTTCGTTCTCGGGTCCATTGTGAAACAAAATTTATGTTTAATAAAATATATGTTGCCATTTACAGTACTAAATAGAAAGAAGATCTTTTTGTGTTCAATTTTAGATTATGCGGATTGTTCTCATATTTTTTTTTTTTTAATGAGTGGTGGATTGATCAAGCTCTGCTGTTAAGTGGCTAACCGAACCCATAGACTTCAAAACCGTGCATGCCCCTGGCACTTTAAAACCTGAAGCTACTATGAGTGTACAACTCAATTGTGTAGCATTATAATTTTGACGGGTTTGATCTCTATTACACGATACTATTCCTTCATCGTAGATGTCATTCCCGAGTTGAGTATACCGGGAGAGCCTTATCCTTTGGACCACAAAATACTTCAGTTTTGTTTTGAAAATGATGCTACATTAAAATTATTTTCTTAATTTTTTCTTTTCGCAGTGAGCGGCATAGCGAAACCTGGCACTCTTATTGCTTTGATGGGACCTAGGTAAGATGCTACTGCTACTTTCAGATCAAACAATTTGGCAATTTTAAAGAATCAAACATCAAGCTGAGTTATATAAACAACGGCAATTCGAGACAACAAATTTCGAATAAAAAATAAAGATTAGGTATTATTTTGTTATTTAAAAACAAAATTCAAAATTATACAAACTGACGAATCAATAATATTGATTACTAGGTTATCGCTCAAATGACAACGAGTCTATCTGCATTGCATTCCAATATCAAATTTCCATCTTAACTTGATTCAGAATAGTAGGAAACGTTGACACATTGGGTTATTTAAATCACAGCACGACTGGAAAATATTTAAATTAGATTATAACTTCTCAGTTTTTATAGCAGCTGCTTTCTTATTGTGTTAGTATAGAGGAAGACACGAAGTTTGTAGCCTAGAATTGTTTCTTCATCTGTTCCGATGGATGTCTTAAAAAGCGGCTATAGGATTCACTTAAGATTATGCAGCGTTCTCTGAGTATTTATTACACTAGTACACTGCCATTTTCAAGTGGTATCTATTGGTGGTTATGGGACATATTATCAGCTCGCCCGGGTGGGTACCACCGACACCTCTGTTCAGTTCAACATTTACGTTGAGGGGACAACCGTTATACAATAAAATTGAAACTTCAAACTCACGTCTCAAGGTGATTTTAATTTTTTTTGTTGGAATCTATAGTACTTTATGTAGTTGCTTCTTGCTCGGCTTTTGTAGATCTGTTTGCCGGTCGACAAAAGCTTCCGTAAACCATTTCGATTCGTATCGATTTTAAGTCTTCCTGTTTTACATAATGAAATTAGTTTTATTTAAAGAGTGATTCCGATACGGTGCTAGATTCAACGGAGTACTGCTCTTGCTAGGACTAGCGTTAGCAACTCTCTCAGGGTGAGCCCCGTGAGCTCACCTACCAGTCCGGGAGTAGCTGGAAAAATTAAGCTTTCCAGTACAAAATTTATTATAATTTTTTTAAATAATAAATTACTGTCACATTTTGTTGTCACTGTAAGCATACGGCACATCCGATGGTAAGTAGTCACCGTCACTCATGGACATCATGGTAAGTCCACAGCCAGGCCGTTGCCTACTGGTTTCGGTATTTGTCTAATTTGATGTTTTCTTGCAGCGGTGCTGGAAAAACTACGCTCATGTCTGCATTAGCCCATCGAAGCCCATGTGAGTAGATTTAAAAAGTTTTGTTTAATATTCGTTACAATAATTTTAAGTACATATGATTTCGGTAACAATTACTTTTTGACACAACATGTCAGTCATATTCACAAACAATATTATTAAAATTATTTTGTAGTAGGCAGTTGTTTGGATTAGGAAAAGTCACTAGATAGAGCCCTATTGCTTGGTTGGGTATTGGTTTATATTATGTGTGCATCGTTTAGATATTCTGTCAACCTTCATTCTGTAAGAACGTAGACTAGACGAGCGTGTCGGTTACAAATTTTGCATAAATTCTTTCTATTAATACATAAATGTCAAACTGTCTGTACGTATAATAACATGTTTTCAAAAATTACATCCGTGGGTCATCGAGATCAATTGATGGAACGTAACATAAATGATTTTTCATCGTCGAACTTGTCGATTACGATGAAGATTTCGATGAGCAAACTAGCCCATAGATAGAGCACAGTTAGTTTCTCACCGGATCGTCTTAGTGGGTCGCGATTCCGATCCAGTGGTCGATTCTTCGAAGCACTGCTCTTACTAGGGCTAGTGTTAGCAAATTCTCTCAGCTTGAGTCCGTGAGCCCACCTACCGGACGTAGCTGAATAGCCCTGAGGCTACCAGCGAACAGATCGGGTATAAAAAAAAATGGTTTAAAGTATTTGAATTTGATAATAAATTAATATGTGTTATGGTAAATTAATATGTGTTATTAATATATGTTATGTAATGGTGTTTCCCGAGCGTTATGACATATCCTTCTTCAAACGAGGCTAGTGGAGAGTACTTAACGGTCGGCAGCGGCTTGGCTCTGCCCCTGTAACTGCTGAAGTCCATGGGCGACGGTAACCACTCACCATCGGGTGGGCCGTATGCTCGTCTGCCTACAAGGGCAATAAAAAAAGTGCGTAGAAACATGCACTACTCTACAATCAATTGTAACTAGTTCAAAAGTACAATTCGCGGTATATATTTTTTTAAATGTTGGCAGTTCGAATGAGCACAGATCACGAGAGCAGGGTTTGGCATACTGCATTTTTGTTTAATTATATAATAGTGACAATTATTTTATCATCACTTTCTGGTTTTGTACTTGTTAATTGCAGTTGCATACCAATCTCTGATTAATGCTACCTATGTAGACTTGTAATTGTTCTGCGAGTGTTTGATTGTTTTTTTTTTTATTATCTTAATCCCCGTAAGAAAAAACCTGACTACAAAAAAAAACACGAGTATATAAAAATTGGTCGGGGTGATGATCAAAAAATAAATCACTCTAACTAAAATCTTCCGGCTAATAAATAGAAATTTAGGTAATAAACTTTGAACATCTTCCAAGGTATGGATAATTCGTAGTGAACCCAATTTCATTTAAAAAAAAATGAAAAAAACAAAACAAAAGGTTTTTCATGAAAGATAACCACACAATGGAGAACTTTCATCTTGTAGATTTAATGTATGAGGATTGTGATTTGTTTTAAACAATTTTACTCTCGCTTTTCACACAGAAAACCATCCATAACGAGCCACAATTGAAATGTATCAAGTTGCAAAAACTACTATCTTAAAATCAAGATTACACAACAATCAAATTAAAAATCTACATAAAACATGATAATAAATTGTAAAAATCTAGCACGATTCAATAATTTGGGGTACACGTGTAACATTTGGTGCGCGTTTCATTACCACAACAAGTTACAAAACAATTCGCGTGGTTTACTTAAAGCCTGCTTTAAAATATTATGCAACAGGAAAGTTTCTGACGTTTGATGGTGTTCGTTATTTATTAACTTCATATACGTATTTAACAGCCGTCTGGTGTAGTGGTAAGTGACATGGTCACTATACAAGGGGGTCGCGGGTTCGAATCCCGCCAAGGGAAGATATTTGTATGATAAATATAAATGTATTTCCAGGGTTATGGGTGTATATAAAATATATGTATGTGTATAATAAAAATATTATATTTATTTCCGTTATCTGGTACTAGTAACACAAGTTCTTTACGAACTTAGCACGGGACCAGTTAACGTGGCGTGATTGTTAGTAAATATTTAATATTTAAATAAATATACAACAGCAAACAACCATTAAAATAAACTTCTAAATGGAAATATCATCGAAACTATTAGTCATTTGACTTTATGAAATATCTAAAACTCGGCACGCTTTGCTAGGCAATCTGACTTTGATCCGATTGCTACCAAACTACACAGGATCACTAACTAGCCCAAATAGGAAACTTCAACAAAATCGGTCCAGTCGTTTCGGAGTCTCTTTCGTTATATACACTCAACGACTTTTGTATAGCTAAATTAGATGCATCCGAATGTTCTTTGGTAGCTAAGCTGGGTTCGCTCCCTGCATTTAATCCATTGTTTAAGGAAAACCAGGTTCGTAGTGAAGGGAGCCTTTCGCTATTTCCACGCCCACTTCTGAATTTAGGTCATTAAAATTTACGTATATCCTTTTCGTTGTTATTTGAGGATTAACTCCTACCAGATTGTGAAATTTTCGAAGTAATCTAATATATAAAATTCTCGTGTCACAATGTTCGTTCCCATACTCCTCCGAAACCGCTTGACCGATTCTCATGAAATTTTTTATTCATATTCAGTAAGCCTGAGAATCGGCTACTATATATTTTTCATACCCCTAAGTAATTAGGGTTGTCCACCCCTAACATATTTTTTTTTATTTGGACTTTTTTTTTTGTTATAATGAGGTATTATGTGGTTGAATGAGGTTTTGTTATTTTTATTATATATTCCCTCATCGTTCACAGCACTACATACCTCTTTCACTCATTTACCACATCCTTACACACTTAGAATAAGTTAGTTTTTTTTTTCTACACTAGAAATTCCCTAGAAATCTTATATATGGCAAAGCGGATGTATGTGTGGAGGGGTGCGTCGCCAGCGGCAGCTTCTTAGTACTACGCACGCACGTACGCAGCACACCGCTAACTCCCCGACGCATCGTGCTGTCTCGTTACTCAATGGCTTGCTAGCCTATGCTCCAGAAATGGATATATTCCATGATGGTTTGCAGCGATTTATTGTTGTTGTTAGAAATTACTTAAGCTAATTATTAATACCTTACAAATGTTTTGGTTTATACTGTTAATTTGTAAGTAGCCTAATTAAATAAATAAATAAATAAATAAATAAATAAATAAATAAAACAATGTTTGCCGGGTCAGCTAGTCTCTATATATAAAAATTAATTGCTGTTCGTTAGTCTCGCTAAGACTCGAGAGCGGCTGGACCGATTTGGCTAATTTTGGTCTTGAATTATTTGTGGAAGTCCAGGGAAGGTTTAAAAGGTAGATAAATATAAAAATGCTCGGAATTAAATAAAAATAACAATTTTGTTTTTCCTTTGATATGTCCCCCGTCGGACGGATTCCATTTGTTTGTTTTAAGTTTATTTTATACAAAAGTTTAGGTATTTTATTTATCGATTGAGGCACTACGAAGTTTGCCGGGTCAGGTAGTGGTAAATGAAATTGGTCATTTCTGTACAGACAATTTGTGTTACTTATGATAAGAGAAGTTAAAAGAAAATTTTCATTGTTCAATGTTCCAATTATTTTTAAACGGATTTCAAATAGAAAATACTGAGCAAGCTCTTAACAAGGTGAATGTATTTTTGTTCTCTTATAGCAATCAGCTTTAAAAAACAGTAATTTGAAAAATACCGAAGCGCTTTTGACCTTTGCGAGAGTGTGTTTACACAATTACATACACAATCTCTCCCAAGATTCCCCAAAAATATGACTTCGAAATTTATTTCTTGTGTTTTCAAATTTGTACCCGGTGGCGACCAATTACCTGAAGGTTTGCCAAGCACGTCAATCTTTTAAATTATCAAGTCATAAGTTCGATGGTGACTTTCTGTTTTTTTTTTTTTTTTTTTTTTTATTGCCTTTGTATGTAGACGAGCATACGGCCCACCTGATGGTGAGTGGTTACCGTCGCCCATGGACTTCAGCAATGCCAGGGGCAGAGCCAAGCCGCTGCCTACCGCTTAATACTCTCCACAAGCCTCGTTTGAAGAAGGACATGTCATAGCGCTCGGGAAACACCGTGGAGGGGAGCTCATTCCATTCCGGATGGTACGTGGCAAAAAAGATCTCTGGAAACGCACTGTGGATGACCGCAGTGGCTCCAGGTAGTATGGATGAACTCTACTCCGGTGGCGGGCGGTGCGATGGTAAAAACGAGACGTTGGTATCATCTCGAACAATTCCTCAGAGCACTCCCCATGGAACATGCGGTACAAAATACAGAGGGAACCGAAGTCCCTCCNAACGCACTGTGGATGACCGCAGTGGCTCCAGGTAGTATGGATGAACTCTACTCCGGTGGCGGGCGGTGCGATGGTAAAAACGAGACGTTGGTATCATCTCGAACAATTCCTCAGAGCACTCCCCATGGAACATGCGGTACAAAATACAGAGGGAACCGAAGTCCCTCCGCAGACCCAGAGGCTCCAAACGATCCGTGAGAATGGGATCCGGGAGAAAGTTTGGGTAACCGGTCTGTTTAATGTTAGCGGTCGTGAGTTCTTTCGTCCATTATCCCAAACAAAAACAAAACAATGCGGTCTTCATAGTGTGCAGCTAATAACTTACTTTTACCGCTTCCCATCAATAAATTGAAACTTATTATTTAAGTCAATCAAAACATATTAGTCGCAAAAAAACAACTATGTTTGTTTACTAATGATGTTTCATTGATGCTTACAAACTGTTATCTAAATTTAGTGTTTTCATTCGCTATGATTTATTGATGACCGGTTCTCGTTCTTCACTACACCTATTTATAAGTCACGATACACAGTAGCAAACATATTTACTTATAAACAAATTACATGCTCATAGTTATTGTAGTTATTATTATTATACTGGTGGTAGGACAACTTGTGAGTCCGCACGGGTAGGTACCACCACCCCGCCTATTTCTGCCGTGAAGCAGTAATGCGCTTCGGTTAGAAGGGTAGGGCAGCCGCTGTAACTATACTTGAGACCTTAGAACTTATATCTCAAGGTGGGTGGCGCATTTACGTTGTATATGTCTATGGGCTCCAGTAACCACTTAACACTAGGTGGTATGTGAGCTAGTCCACCTATTTAAGCAAAAAAAAAAGTTAAATTAACCTATTTTAATCAAGTTATTTGTAAANGTAGGAATAACACTGGCTCTCCAACCCACACGCCGGAACACAGCTAGGCTATTTGGCGGCGGACTCTAGTTGGAGGGTGGTCGCCAGCCAGTCGGACAAGTCCTACCACCGATTATGTATTCGGCTCCCGTTTTGCACCACCCAGGGGTCACTTGTAGGGAATCGCGGGTTAAACCTACGGAAGCGGGAAGCAATCAACCCCCACTGAGCAACTAACTCTTTACCCAGAGAAATTGTATCAAGTCTCATTATTTCTAAATTTCAAATTTAACACGGATGAACCATTAGGAACGCCTATACGGTCATAAAAGCAGCTAATAAAAGTTAATGGCTTTAATTACATTCTAGCTATTTCAGGTCAAAAAACTTATACGATAATCGTCTGTCTAATTGACAGATACAGGTTTAACACTTTGGCTTCCATTCGACCCAAAAAAACTAATCTATATCGTGCAGTTGATTCTTCGCTACCTTGATTTTTTAATTATCCTACCCCTTAATTCTTGAAATACGAATGTCATGTCTGCTTTACTGCGAAGCTAGTTCATTTCTCTAAGTAGGGTAGCGGATTTCAAATTAACTTTATTATTATTTTATGTTCTTTTAGTTCTTTTTTAGATGTTTAGTTTAGATGTTCTTTTAGATTATTTAGTGTATTATAATTTTAAATTAAAGTGTTTTCATAGGCTATTTCATGATGATAGAAGAATGCGTGAATGTTTGTTTGATCTTAAGTGACAGAGATTGATATGTGTTTTTTAGTCCGTTATGCCTACTTAGGCAGTGATTGATTAGAGTTTTAGAACTTAGCTTAGTATTATTACATAGATATCCTTATAATTACTATAATTGAGATATAGTCACAGCGTATCATACAATAATATAAACGAACATGAGTTACCACTAATAATAGACCAAAAAAAAAACATGTGAATGAAAAAATAAATTTAGCAAATTCTTTATTGTTTATGACTATTTTATCGTCTTCATTTCGTATTTGATAAATCAAACAGTAGCATTAACCGGTTCCAGAGATGGTGTTTTTAGTTAAAATTTAACACGTTTTTGTTCAATTTTTTTTTGGGTAGTTAAAGAAATGATGTTAAGTCAATTAAATCTTCGGTTTAAATTCGCGTATAATGGCGCTATTCTGTAGATATCAATGTGTTGTTTCATTATGACTATTTTCATTATGAATTAGAACTATTGAATGGGTAATTATAATGAAGTACAAAAGTGATATGCATAGGAAGGACCCGTTCAATAATATTGTTAATAAGTACCAATGTTTTCGAAAACATAACTTTACAGTTTGTATGGCCAGGTTTTAAACGTGGCATAATTAGTACCCAAATATGGGGCTCGCGAAAATCCGAAAAACGATTGAACACAACTTTAACTGATGTTAAAAAGCTGTTGGGAAATAGTATGCTTATTAAATTAAGTAGCAATAAGGTAATAAATAGGTTAAAAAGTAATTAAAAACTACATTATTGCGTAACATCCAATAACACAATGCTGGCTGATTGAATACTGACTAACAGTGTGGCTAATTGGTTTATAATGTTCAATTAACTAATGTTGGTGCTGGAAGAAGCAGCAAGCTTAGTGACCATTACAGATTTAAAAATAAAAAAAGTGTGTGTGTCCGCTCCGACGCACGACTGGAGTTTACTGGATATAAAAAATTAAACGAAACAATACGAGAAATAGTTCTATATTACGACAACACGATACACTACAGATTATTAACAAATTAACGAGACACAAAACAAACGACTAACAAATATATGAAAATACAATAATGAGAGAAACGCGCGATCNACTAACAAATATATGAAAATACAATAATGAGAGAAACGCGCGATCAGTACGAGGCTTTGTGGCGGACTGCCGGCGCATGTACTAGCATGTCACACGAAATGCGCATAACGCATTTCGTGTGACATGCTAGTACGATTTTGGTCCCCATAATTTTCATACCCCGGGCCTATATATGTAAATCGATTCTAAAGGAGTAAACTCCAAAAACTGCTTATTAACAAGAAGATCGGGATATTTTAATCCTGGCCTCAAGCTACCACTTTTATTCGTCCATAGTAGCAGGTTCCGTGGATTTCCGATTTAACCACGATGACATACTATCTAAAACAAGGACGAGGAACACGCGGCTTGCCAAGCATTTCTAATATTGAATTTATTTTATCGACTTTCTCTCGTCCATTTGTTTTTCTGTTCTTTTTTTGTTTGTTTTTAACAAAGAAATAAAGTTTCGAAAATTATTAATAAGAGTTCATCTATGTAAGTCCCGTTAAAAAAAAATTAAATTGGCCCATTGATTAAAAAGGTTGCTCAGCCCTGATCTAAGCTGGTAATGGATCTTGCTGTGAACTCGCACGGGGAGATACTTACACCATTATAATATACCATTTAATAAGCAAAATGCCACTAAGTAGCTATGCGCTTTTGTTTGAAGGTCAGACACCTTTTTGCTTAGAAGTTTCTTAGGAGTTAGTGTGTTCTATTCTAGAAGGTGAAAATAATATATGTAAAATGTACCACGAGGTTTATGTAGTTATGGGTGGGTGTATTGTTATAAATTGATAATTTTTATTACCAGATGTTGTATTGATCATGGATAAAGAAAAAACAATTATAACAAGTTACTAAGTTAAGTATATGTTAATGTACAAGTTTTTTTATGTACAGCAATGTAATGTAATGCTACAAGTGAGACCTTAGAAATCTTGTCTCAAGGTGAGTGGCGGCATTGTAGTTGTCTGTGGGCTCCGGTAACCACTTAATACCAGGTGGCCCGTAAGCTCGTCCACACATCTAAGCAAAAAAATATTTGTCCGTCTTTCACGCAACAACTGAGCTATGATTTCGATGTATTTTTTTTTACAAAAATTAGTCGAACTTGAAACAGGAAAAATTGGAATTTTTTTACAAACACATGAGCAATGATAAATTTCAAGCCAATCGCACGTCTGCTTTTTATAAATAAAATATTATACATATATGCAAATATAACAGAAACCAAATTTGAATTAAAATACAGATTAATTAATTTATACGAATAGAAGATGATGCATCTGTTTGAAAATAGATTCGACAATTTTTAACAATTGGTTTTGATAAGTCGAAATCTAATTAAAAACGTTTTGGTACTCAGAATACTTTTAAACTAATAACAAACAACAAAGAGGTTATATAAAGTTTACGATCAGCTTCTGTATCACATGATGGGTACCATATTCACTTATTAAGGGAAATATTAGAATTCCGTACATAATGACGGAATTATAACCCAGAAATGCAATACACCGATGGTGGTGGTCTACCTATTTTGTGAACCCCATTGGTAAAATCAGTTTTTTTATTTATTACTTAGATGGCTGTGAGCTCGTCCACCCATCTGGGCAATAAAAAAAATTCAACATTAATACTATCCAGCAGTAGTACTATCTATAAACTAATTAACGTAAATCAAAATACTTTAAATAGTCTGCTCGTTAATTAAATCACAACAAAACTGCGAACGAGATTAGAAAACCAATAATAGTTATTTAAATCTAGCATGTATTTTAATTTGTAAAAGTGGATCTATTCAGTTTTCGTAACCCTGACAGTGACCTTAAAGACGACAATAATTTAAGAGGCTGTGTATTTTATGCACTTTTTATTGTTTTATTTATAAAAATATGGCGTTTCTTTACTTGCAATATTTTTATATACACACCTACTAGCCGTACTGGCCCGCTTCGCTGGGCATTTAAAATTTACATTATTATTTATTGTCATTATTATTAGGGAGTCCAACACTCATAAAAATATTAGCCTATCCATTAAGTACATTTTCTACATGGATACCAAGTTTCAAGTCAACCGGATGCATCAGTAGTTACAACGGAACATCCGTAAAAACCACTGTAGAGTTATATGAGGCCATCGGCGCAAAAGTGGCCTAACCCGCAATTTTGTATATTCAAGCATGTATGACGTATATTGGAATTTATATAAAATATAATAAATTTTGATGTAAAACCGGCATATCCATTGTTTCATCCATAGATAACAGATAGCTTTGAAAACAAAATTTTTGCGCGGATTGTTTTTTTGCTTACTCAAATTCAAATTCATGAAAATTCAAACCTAATTGCCTCCATACTAAGTATGATAAGCCTTGGCCACTTTTGCGCTGAAGGCCTCATATATTAGTATAGATTAAAATGTGATATTTAAAGAAATATAACTGACAAGCTTATTCTTACAGTCGGTACAGTGATAGACGGCGAAATCATCATGAACGGTCGTCCAGTCTGCAGCTACGTGGACAGAGAAAGCGGCTACATGCATCAAGACGATATCTTTGCTGAAAACCTAACAGTTATCGAACATCTAACGGTCATGGTAAATTATTTCTAGCCTCCGATCCTTCACAGAATATAAATAGAATTTAGGAATTATCCAAGTCGTTAACTATAGATAATTTTACTAGATTCTTTGATCACACCACAAGTTCCAATACGCTTTCCTTGAATACTTTCCCGGATTCTCCCTGTAGGAGGCGGCTTGGCTCTGCCCCTGGCATTGCTGACGTCCATGAACGACGGCAATCTCTCACAATCAGGTGGGCCGTATGCACGTTTGTTTAAGCGGGCCATTTAAAAAATTTTACATGAATCCTAGAAATAATTGGTGAAAGCTTACATCTAAATTTCTCCATAATTTAGGCTCGCCTACGCATGGATAGACGCACATCAACTGTAGCCAGGAAACGCCGGGTGAATCAGTTGATGAGGCAGTTGTCTCTCTACGAGTCCAGGTTCACGAGGATAGGAGGCCTCGATGGACACAAAACCTTGTCTGGTGGAGAAAGGAAAAGACTGGCTTTTGCTACTGAAGTGAGTTCTTTTTTGATAATCTAAAAGTCCACATCTTCGTGATCTAAGCGATAAGACGCCTTAGTGTACACTTATCTAACGATGCGACTGTGCTGATGTTCGAATCCCGCAGGCAGGCATGCCAATTATTTCTAATGAAATACGTACTTAAAAAATGTTTACGAATGACTTTCACTGTGAAGGAATAACATCGTGTAATAAAAATGAAAACTCCTACAATTTTAATTTATGAGATTACTGGTGGAAGGACGTATTGTTAGGTAGCATATAATTCATGTTCTAAGTCTTAAGAGATTGTAAACTTGTCATTTGTTGTGAAACTCTACAACAGTTTTCAGTCAACGACGACAGTACCTTTGGCACTGTTCATTTTACTTTTCAGACAATTATTTTGTATAGAATTAGGTTTATCATCCTGCATTGAACCGAGTAGATGCCAAACACGACCTAAGTCCTCCCTTTCAAAATCTAACGGCGTATGAATGTTTTATTTTAATGTAAAATATAGAATAATTCACTTTATTATTGTGACAATTATTTATTTCACCAGTCAACTCGTGCGTTCAAATCAATCATTTTATATCTATGTAAACATTTTACTATGTTTGTTAATGTAATAACTAAAATATACTATTAAAAGAAGTCCCTTTAGGCAAGGTTCCGAAGATACTGGCAGCGTTCCCTCTTTGAATAGCTAGACTAATTATTTATCCAAGGTAGCTGCCAGCTCTTCGGTCTCCTGTGATGTCGACTAACACTTTTGCTATTTCCTAAAAAAGCCTTATACAAAATCATCAGCTATTTTTTTAATTAAGAATAAAGTCGTTATCGAAAAATCTTGTATTTTCAGTAGAGCAATCGAAGACAGTTCTCTTGCGCTTCCAATGATCGTCGTATAAATTTACTACCTGTTCAAAATACCTGTTTGAATTTAAAAAAAACGGGCGGCTTCATTTCATCCGTTAGTATGTAAAGCGTGACATTAAGAATAGTTTTTAAGACAACATCTTTCGCTTGAACTTGCAATAACTTTGGCATCCCGTTTTAATTATTCTGTAACGCATGAAGTCTACAGCATGAACAAGTTAGTAGAACAGTATTCCTCGTTGAACATTGTCCGTACTCTTTTTCTCAGTTATTAACGGATCCAGGACTTCTGTTCTGCGACGAACCCACCACAGGATTAGACTCCTCGTCAGCGCTGAAGCTGGTATCACTCCTCCGAGCCAGTGCGGCCCAGGGCAAGACCGTGATATGCACTATACACCAGCCCTCCTCAGAACTGATGGCACATTTCGACAAGCTAGTCTTGTTAGCTGAAGGAAGGATCGCCTTTGCGGGAAACGCATCTGCTGCTTTGGGATTTTTCGAAAGGTAAACAATCAACTGTTTAAATAGATTTAGTTGTACTTGTGCGAGCACCTACAGGCCAGATGATCACTATACAGAAACACTCTTGTATTGACATAGTGTAACGATTACTATTCAAATGGCTTGTTAATAAACAATTCAATAACGGAAAAACAAGATTTCAGTGAACATCACAATGATAAAGATCTTCTATTTTGAGACTACAGTTAGATGCAAATTTGTTTGGAATATAACGGAAGCTAATCTTCAGAATAAACAAAACCTGTTTCCTTGATCTATTCAATCCCATTTCGTTACATTTCTTGGTTACGCAATCTGAGTTATATTTTCTTAAGACATTTAAAAAACCCAATCAAAAAACTCTAATAAATCATGGTTACGATCTAAACGAACACTGCACGCTGTCAAATGTAAGTGTTAAGTTATTCGCTAGCACAATGAAAAAGTTATTGCCTTTAATTCTTTGAGATGACGTTTACAATCTGTTAAATTTACTTAATATCATTCGGATTTAACGGACGATTTTGGACGTTAAGCTATGCAAATTTGAGTTGAGATTGCTATACTAATGCATTAAAACAGTATAGTATTTATTAGGACTAATTCTCGAGTTTTATTTTTATTTTTTTATTGCTTAGATGGGTGGACGAGCTCACAGCCCACCTGGTGTTAAGTGGTTACTGGAACCCATAGACATCCACAACGTAAATGCGCTACCCACCCTGAGATATAAGTTCTAAGGTCTCAAGTATGGTTACAACGGCTGCCCCACCCTTCAAACCGAAACTCATTACTGCTTCACGGCAGAAATAGGCAGGGTGGTGGTACCTACCCGCGCGGACTCGAAACTAACTCATAGTTGTTACAATCATCATCATAATCAGCCTCTATACAGATTCCTCGCTCCCTAACCCATACTGCGCTGCCCACATCCGTAATACCACGATCGTCATTAGTTGCGTTTATGTAGTCATTTCAATTTTTTTAATTTAATTCATTACTTTTAATAAAAAACCAACAATTTTTTTTGGAAATAAATTATTCATTTATTTTCGCGTCGTTTGATTTTGGCATTATTCTGCACACGACAACCGATAACTTAAATAAACACAGTTTTTCAACATTTAAAAAAAAAAGAATTAATATCGACTATAATTTTACATAATTCGAATGATCACTAAATGTATTTGGCTTTCGGATATAGAACGGTAGTTTGATAAATCACAATCCATCTGACGTAGAGACTCTTAATAGAACTTATCGACACGACAATGTCAGTGTCGTTGCTGACTTTAGAGATATTCAGTTTCAGTTACATTGGGATCATGAGCATTCTGTCCTTCATACGGAACGCACCTTTGCTTAACTAACTTTAGAATTAGGTAGGGCCAATTTACTGATGATACGAAAGTATCTAGCAGTCCTACATTACCGACATTATCAATTTAAAATTTCTGTTCTAGATCTATTCTAATTATCTGCTGGTTCTCGTATGTATCTCATCGAGAAAATATTCCATATAAACTTTTAATATCCAAAAAAATACTCTCCAGTTTAGAAACAACAACAAAAAATACATCCACTGGTTCCACAGAGGTTATTTACACAACATTTCTTGAACGACGTCTGATCAAACAAAAAACTGATGAATAATTAATTTACTTTGCTGATTTTATTGATTCCAATTTAACAGGCATTAAGCTTTGTGTATTTAACTAAGGTTTAGTTAATTGCCTATAAAAAAGAATGTGGCTCTACGTTTGTTTAATGAAGTATCCGTTCGCGTTATACATACATATATTTACATTAGCTATAGCTATATATTTATGTTAGTTCTTATGAATGGATATTAAAAAATTAATTATTGTTACGATAAGATCTTATTTCAAATATTCAGGTTTGGTTTCGATGGAAGAACGATTTGGTAATAGTGTGTGTCTTTTTTTCATTATTTGAAATTATTTAGTAGTCCTTGAATAGTTTCTTGACTTTTGATATTCTTTAGCATACTCGTAGTAATTTAAATTACTCAGTGATCAGTTTGGATATTTTCTTAAGAAAAATTAATACTGACAATGTGTGATTGCAAATTGACTGTGTGGGTCGGATGGGATACCTTGCTTTTTTCGATCCCTTTCTCCACAAGGATTAAACGCTTGGCTGGAAGAATCTATAGCGAATTTTTTACCCGACTGTAAACATCGGCCGCAACCATAACCCACGAAAATTAATAAAAAAAACAAATTGCGATTTAGTAGATATTTATTTTTTGTTCTAAATGGCAAATGAACTCACGATCTGCTTGATTGATACTTAGCGGATACCGTAGACGATAGAACACAAAACCATAATTGACGAAATTACAGTCGCCGTGGATTAAAGAGCGTGACCAAAGTACCAAACCAACCTGACAACACACCGGGTCCGGTATTCTGCATAGTGGTATTTATGGCGGCGAATAGGTATTCATTCAAAAAATATCTCAGCTCCTGTATGTGTCCAAACATCAATAAGAAAATCGGTCAAGTGCATGTCGAACTACGCAGTGAATTGTAATTAATATCCATAGTTCGGATGACCTCTCAAGGTTTAATCGTTTACTAGCTACTGTTTTAGGACGCTTCCTCATCGCGACTTAAAATGAAATTTGTATCCGCTCATCAGCATAAATCGCATTTCCTTGATGGTGAGCTTATTGTGATAATATTAATTTTTAACACACTCCAAAAAGGGAGCTACTAATTTCCACTTTATTTTTAATGTTTATTCACTGGTTTCTCCGTCATTTTTGCACCGATACCGAAAAGCATTTTTTTTCCTACCTAGGCTGATGGTCTTGAGAGACCATATCAGCGTAACCGGGCGAGTAGGTGAGCTCACGGGGCTCAAGCCTGACGCTATTGCTAACACGAACCCTAGCAAGAGCCGTGCTTCTCAAAATCTATCACTGGATCGGAAACGCGACCCACTGAGAGGATCCGGCGAGAAACTCAGTGGGCCGTGTCTGTGGGTTAATTTACTCGCCGAGCCCTTGAGGTACCTAGAAGCACCGTTAGTAGATCGGGAGGATCCGAAATGACGTATTGGTTGCATTGGATTATGGTTTCTTGTAATTAATGAATGTCACTTTTGGAATCAGCTATAAACATTTTTTTGATAATTAAGCAAAGCCCTTGAAAAAAGATAAGCAAAAGAAATTCCGTTTGGAACATAAGTGTTTTCTATACGATTGATTTGTCTAATAAAATCCTTCCGCTAGCCAGCTAATGGTTCTCAAGGCATTCGAATCAATAGTTGTAAACGTTCATCAGTAAGGCATTCTTAATTAGACACGGTCTCAATACAATCGTGACCCATTTACCGAGACTAGAACATTTACTGACCTTAATCCAACATCCGAGATCTTCGGTGCAGCAGACTATAGTTTATTTGTAGAGTTTCATTGCATTAATGGATTATTTTTACTTTTTCGAAAAAAAAAAAAAATGAATTTGATCATATCGAAGAGCGAAAGGCTATTTGTTTTAAGCGATATTTTTGCAACTTTACAGCAGAGCAATTTAAAGTTTAAAATTTAGCAAAAATATCATAACAAAAAACTTCTTCAGCTATTTGAATGGAGAAAACTCAACTGAAGTACAATAAAAAAAATCGATTGTTGATGCTAATCACTACATAGTGTAAAACAAAGTCGCTTTCTCTCTCCCTATACCCCTATGTATGCTTAAATCTTTAAAACTACACAACGGATTTTGATGCGGTTTCTTTTAATATATAGAGTGATTGAAGAGGAAGGTTTATATGTATAATAACATTCATTAAATAGCGGAGAAATCAATAATAAATTACAGTTTCCGAAGCGAAGCGAGGGCGGGTCGCTAGTACCAAATAAAAAGCGTCTTTAATTACAAAGATAATTGTCGCATATTAGCGAAATGTCGCTTAAACCAAAGAGCCTTTCAACTCTTTTCATCTTTTAGTTTATTTGCGTAGTTTCGGTGAGATATGTATATGTATACATATATGTATGAGATAGATTTATTTTACTACATAATTTGAGACTTACAACTCATGTCTGAAGGTGAGTGGCGACATTTTAGTTGTTGAAATACAGATGTGCTACGCGTCCTAATCATCCTAACTACTACACTGGGATCCGGATCCGCTTACCTGAATACACTTAGTAGTAACTGCGTAAAAAAAAATTATATTCGGTGTTTGGGTTTACGTGTACCAGAAAAATATGGGGTCATTGAACGTGGAATGTTTATCTTTTTTTGTTGTTGCTATAACTAAAAAAGTTTTGTATGTATGTTGATTATTATGTAAAGAAGTATGTACATGTACTGATAACTAAATTACCTACCATTATTTAAGTTTTCTTTTTTAGTCTACAATACTGGAATACAAGGCAAATACGTGAAAAAACAAAAGGTTGCATTATTGGCCGCTTCAGAAACTGTGTGACTCTTTATGTAATACTAATATTTTATGTGACGTAATTTTTTTATACGAAAATTATTTTTAGATTGTCGTTTAAAATAAAATCATATCTCCGATTTTTTTTTTTATTGCTTAGGTGGATGGACGAGCTCACAGCCCACCTGATGTTAAGTGGTTACTGGAACCCATAGACATCTACAACGTAAATGCGCCACACACCTCGAGATATAAGTTCTAAGGTCTCAGTATAGTTACAACGGCTACCCCACCCTTCGAACCGAAACGCATTACTGCTTCACGGCGGAAATAGGCGGGGTGGTGGTACCTACCCGTGTAGACTCCCAAGAGGTCCTACCACCAGTTCTGCTCGGGGTCGTGGCTATTTTCGCTTTACGCTTTTTGAACGCTTAAACGGTAAAAGCATAGCGAACTTTTAAGTTGTTTTAACTTCAGCTAAGCTTCTTTTAATTTAATTCTACTGAATACCACAAATATTGTTTCCTATTCGCAACGTAAACAAACATTCTATAGATTGACGACGAACTGAAATAAATAAAGTTAAACATTATCGCTATTTATATATACTAGTAGTCCTGTAGTAGTCGAAATTCAATTATAATTAATGGGAATTTCATATAAGTTTGAACATTATTATGGTTCTATTGTCAAAAACTATACTTATACTTCCATAATCACAGATTTCGCCAAGACTACACTATAGACAAATAATATTAGACATAAAAAATATTAACCTATTCGAAATNAAAGTTAAAAATTATCGCTATTTATATATACTAGTAGTCCTGTAGTAGTCGAAATTCAATTATAATTAATGGGAATTTCATATAAGTTTGAACATTATTATGGTTCTATTGTCAAAAACTATACTTATACTTCCATAATCACAGATTTCGCCAAGACTACACTATAGACAAATAATATTAGACATAAAAAATATTAACCTATTCGAAATTTTACTACAGATTTTAAGCAATAACAAAAGTATGACAATAAACAAAGAGTATATGTGTGCGTGTCAAATACATGGTAGTGTGTGTAATGTTTTCTTTATTGATTTAATGTATTTTTATACGTAATTTTTTTTAAATATTAGCACTCTGTACTTCTTCTCTATATTCTCTATAAGTGTGGGAAATTTCATACTCCTCCGTCCGCGCAATTCTCGTAAAAAGGGGTACAAAGTTTTTGCTTCATGTATAGATAGTCACAAAAGAATGTTGCGAAATTTTATTTACCCCATTGACTTTGGCTTTAATTTTCTTTTAGTCTCGGCTACCACTGTCCCTTAACGTACAACCCGACGGATTACTTCATAAAAGTGTTGGCTTTAACTCCTGGCTCCGAAGCTGCGTCACGTCACGCTATCAAGAGTATATGCGACCGGTTTGCCGTCAGCGATGTCGCTAAGGAATTGGACATGGAGATTCATTTGGAGTATCATCTTATGGATAATGAGGTGGAGGTAAGGGTTCGTTCTTATTAATTAATTTTCGGGTTTATCAATCAAATTGTTATTTGAATATTGATTACCTTTGGTCTGGTCTGGTCTCTGCATAACGATTTCGATATTCCGCTATTTATGTTCAAATGTCTGGTCTTCAGATTTAATTGTAGAAGTTTGTGAGTTGTATATATAAAATGCTAAGTTTAACTTCAAATTCTTTAGATCTATGTGGAACTTCATTTGTTATAAAGATGTATTTGTCGGTTGATTGTTTTTGAATGTCGCGATTTTGATAATAGTCTGTTTAAAGCATTATGAGGTCAGTGAATCTTGCATGTTTATTGATTATTCGTCCATTAGTCTATGTTACCTTAACCTATTACAGTATTGAAATATGAATGCAAAATGAACTAAATGAGTTGCAGCCGAATAGTCTCTAGACAGATTATTAAATGGATAAAAATAAATACTATTATTATTTACTAGTGGCCCGCTTCGTCTCCGCTCGGGTTCGTAACAAAAATTACAACGACATTTGACGTTGTTTTATNAATCACTGGTGGTAGGACCTCTTGGGAGTCCGCACGGGTAGGTACCACCACCCCGCCTATTTCCGCCGTGAAGCAGTAATGCGTTTCGGTTCGAAGGGTGGGGTAGCCGTTGTCACTATACTGAGACCTTAGAACTTATATCTCAAGGTGGGTGGCGCATTTACGTTGTGGATGTCTATGGGCTCCAGTAACCACTTAACACCAGGTGGGCTGTGAGCTCGTCCACCCATCTAAGCAAAAAAAAAAAAAAAATATGAATGCAAAATGAACTAAATGAGTTGCAGCCGAATAGTCTCTAGACAGATTATTAAATGGATAAAAATAAATACTATTATTATTTACTAGTGGCCCCGACTCCGCTCGGGTTCTTAACAAAAATTACAACGACATTTACGTTGTTTTATTTTTTAAAATAAAAGAACACTTATTGCGGCGTAACTATGATAGTTAGACATATGCTGTCGCGACACTTTTTGTAAATAATGTTGTGTTCTACAAAGTCGTAGTACATTATTGTATTCTATCATCAATAGTTTTCGCAGGGCACGCGATGTAAAGAATATTTTAGATAATTATTTACAACTTGGGTTATATTATTGGAGTCTTAGTAAGGATCCCTAACTTTTTTCAAAAAAGATTATAGCCTATGTCACTCGAGAATAGTGTAGCTTCCAAACAGTGAAAGAATTTTTCAAATCGGTTCAATAGTTTCCGAGCCTATTCAATACAAATAAACAAACAAATCTTTCCTCTTTATAATATTAGTATAGATTCGTCCATTAGTCTATGTTACCTTAACCTATTACAGTATTGAAATATTAATGCAAAATGAACTAAATGAGTTGCAGCCGAATAGTCTCTAGACAGATTATTAAATGGATACAAATAAATACTATTATTATTCACTAGTGGCCCGCTCCGACTCCGCTCGGGTTCTTAACAAAGTCGTAGTACATTATTTTATTCTATCATCAATAGTTTTCGCAGGGCACGCGATGTAAAGAATATTTTAATTTTTCAAATCGGTTCAGTAGTTTCGAAGCCTATACAAACAAACAAACAAATATTTCCTCTTCATAATATTAGTATAGATATCGCAGATTACGTGAGATTGAAATTTTATTAATTAATTTTGCATAGGACTCAAGGAGGATAAGAGGTGACAGCTTTAGGCCACCACATTTTTACACGAAGATAATGTGGCTCGTGTACAGATACCTGCTGATGATCATCAGAGATCCGAGGGTTCAACTGGTCCGTATACTACAGAAATTGGTAAGCCTAATGATACATCAAAATTTTTTTTCGAATCACCAGCTCAAGCGTCATCAAGGCCGTTTCCTATGATATTTGTTTTTAGTTACAAATGGCTTTCGTTGCAAACTTGTAGATATTTGTGTTAATATTATTAATCTTCTTCACGTGTATTGAAAGAAAGATTGAAGACCTTCACATTTCCTAATTATGCAGATTGGAACTGAAATGATTTAATAACGAATACTCAAATTTTTAAAATTACATTCGCAAAATATTTCACTAATTTGGGTGGTCTCTTGCAATTATCGTGACGGGTGAGAGAATATTTACTATTTAAGACTTCGACGTGTCCGTATAAGTTTAATATTCAGGATAAAAAAATTATATAAGATTAGTAAACATTCCAAACGAAATAAAATATTATTATGTTGCTTAATATTGGGATTTGAATCCAAAAGCAATGAATAAATTCAACTCAAGATAAAATCTAATCAAGTACATACCTACACATAATGCCAAAAAGTTCCGTCGTTCGCTACGGAATTACAAATTAAAAGGTTGAACCTAAATTCATAGATTGGATTGGATCGCAGATCATTAGGAGTAACCGTATTCGTCGAACTCGACAAAGAGGTCGACGTGCAACCTAACCCATGCATCAGCCCGCTGAGTTTCTCGCCGGATCTTCTCAGTGGGTCGCGATTCCGATCCGGTAGTAGATTCATTCGCGAAGCAATTGCTCTTGAGTTGTTGGTCTCCTTCGGAGGCGCTCGGGCAGTTGTTAGCAAATCCCACCCCTCCTGGCTGAGCCTTTGCTTGCCCATCTGTCCTGGTGAAGCTGGAAAGGCCTCCGGGCCACCAGTAATCTTTAAATCATAAAAAAAGATCATTAGGAAACTGCATGAATTAATAATATTTAAATATTATTTCTTATTGTTATATAGAAGTAAGAACTCGTGAAACCCGCTCCTCTTACCACCCTAATTATGGAAAACTTTAAGAACGCGGGATTTCAGTCAGTGAAATTCCGATAAAGTTACTTTTTCCGCAAATCGCAACCATAATCTATTTACTTATTTGAACACTTTAATATTATTTATTTTTAACTCGCAATCTAGGTTGAAGGCACCTAATGCTAGTCGCACAAGTTCGTTGACCTGGCACGAAATCAGTTTTTAAAACGCTTACATTGCGGGCAGTTCTAATTTTCAGTTTTTTAGCCCTCAGAGATTAAAATTAAAAATATATTTTAGGAAACCTCTTTTCTTTGCCATATCTACAAAGAGAACAGCCCTTATTCTTCAAGATATTTTATGTCAAGTAATTATTACCGATAATTTGCTGTTGTAAATTTTAAAATACAAAAACTTTACATCTACGTCATAGATTAATAATACCCACAACGAATAAATACCTTATTAATTAAAATCAATCATCATCGGAACCACACAATCGTGTTTTTATTCGAGACTGAACCAGTTTTGTTTCCAGTTGTAAAAAATGATGTCGCAAAAAGCACTCTTAAGGTGTATTTGTATGTTGGTAATAATTTGGGTGTGATGCGAAATGAATAGTTATACTGACTATACATGCTCAGTTCCCCTGCCAGATTGATGTAGACTGTGATCACGTTTATTAGCGTTCAATAGCACCTATGAGCACAATTCACGTTAAGTACTTTAGGTCGAAGTCTCCATTGTATTCTCTAATGATGATCGCATCTTTCAAATCGAAGCGCATTACTGCTTTGCTTCAGATATAGGTAGTAGGGTGCTGATACCCAGCCGGGCGCGCTCACAAGACGTTCTTTTTTTATTGCTTAGATGGGTGGACGAGCTCACAGCCCACCTGGTGTTAAGTGGTTACTGGAGCCCATAGACATCTATAACGTAAATGTGCCACCCATCTTGAGATATAAGTTCTAAGGTCTCAGTATAGTTACAACGGCTGCCCACCCTTCAAACCGAAACGCATTACTGCTTCACGGCAGAAATAGGCAGGGTGGTGGTACCTACCCGTGCGGACTCACAAGAGGTCCTACCACCAGTAAAGTATTCTTTCTCTTTTTCTCCACCTTATCCCACCAGGTGGGGTCGGCACAGCGAATTTTTCTATTCCATTCTCTTCTATCATCTCAACACTCACTCCCCTCTCTTTCTCTCATATCGTCCTACTCGTGCAGACTCACAAGAGGTCCTACCACCAGTATAGCGACTGCGCCATTTTCACTTTTGCGGATTTCATTTTTATCATCCGAAGTCATTCGTTAATAACATATGTTAAATTTATGTCAACCATACCATTTCTGTCAAAAATATCATTAGAAACATTGGTAACCGCATGCGCGATTCTAATCCCAGCATAGTTGCATCGCTCGATACGAAATCACGGGACGTCTTATCGTTTAGGTCACGGCATATAAGTTGTCCTATAATTAAGCAAAAGCTATATTAAGTGTATAATATATGTATGTATATGCAACATTCGGCATGACGGCCCGAAGAGAGAATTTGTTCGATTTCAAGTGTGTTGTGATTCTAGTCATGTATTGTAATAGCAATCAAAAGAAATATCTTAACTGTGGTTTCCCATTTTCTTTCAATTCCAGGCTATAGCTTTAACAGCTGGCGTTTGTTTCTTGGGCACACCCCGACTAACACAAGCCGGGGTCCAAGACGTCCAAGGGGCTCTATTCATCATCATAGCTGAGAACACGTTCAGCCCCATGTATTCAGTTCTTCACATGTTTCCTGAGGAGTTTCCGTTGTTCAACAGAGAGCTTAAGGCTGGACTGTACTCCACGCCGGTCTATTATACTGCCAGAATGATCGCTTTGGTGAGAAAGGCTCTTTTACACGTATTGCTTGAACCAGATGACAGACACAACATTACAGATAAAATCTTTTTCTGTTAGTGAATTATATATCTCTGTAGCTGCGACCTCTTTAAACTACCACGCATACGAATTAGCCGTTCGTAGTATTAGCGGTTTTATCATAATAAACTTTAAGGTTACGAATAGAAGTAGTTTATTATCAACTAGTTACAGTTTTTCCATTTCTATTTTCATGGCGTAACGTGCAGGGGAGAACTGTGTCCAGCAGTGGGACGCCATCCTTATGGCATTTCGCGGTGTTAAACCTATCACCATATTGAATTTTGTCGAAAATATTTCTGTGATTTGAGTGTGAAAACTTTCAATTTCTGATAGCATAAAAATAATTCTCCAAGAAAAAACTTTTTTGACTGCTTAAGTGGGCGGACCAGCTCACGGCCCACCTGATGTTAATTGGTTACCGGAGCCCATAGACATCTACAAAGTAAATGCCGCCACCCACTTTGAGACATGAGTTCTAAGGTCTCTTGCGTTCCAATACCATACCCGAACGTTTAAGGCCATGGTTTTAAAGCTTTCATTGACATTAATCGTGGTGCGCCCCTGGACAGTTCCCAGGGCTGTTGATAGAGCCGGTGCTGTTCACTGGTGTGGTGTATTGGCTCGCCGGGCTACGGTACAGTGCCTACGCCATCGGATTGACCATATTCATCTCGATTCTGGTGCTCAACGTCGCCATAGCGTGCGGTAAGTTCCTTAATTATTTTTTTTGCTTAGATGCTTTAANTCATTGACATTAATCGTGGTGCGCCCCTGGACAGTTCCCAGGGCTGTTGATAGAGCCGGTGCTGTTCACTGGTGTGGTGTATTGGCTCGCCGGGCTACGGTACAGTGCCTACGCCATCGGATTGACCATATTCATCTCGATTCTGGTGCTCAACGTCGCCATAGCGTGCGGTAAGTTCCTTAATTATTTTTTTTGCTTAGATGCTTTAACGACCGTCTGGTGTAGTGGTAAGTGACATGGTCACTACACAAGGGGGTCGCGGGTTCGAATACGCCAAGGAAAGATATTTGTATGATAAATATAAATGTCTTTTCCAGGGTTATGGATGTATATTAAATATATGTATGTGTATAATAAAAATCTTACATTTATTTCCGTTATCTGGTACCTGTAACACAAGTTCTTTACGAACTTATCACGGGACCAGTTAACGTGGCGTGATTGTTAGTAAATATTTAGTAAATGGGTGATGTTACTCCCCGCCATAGAAAACTACAACGTAAATGCCGCCACCCACTTTGAGATATGAGTTCTAAGGTCTCAGTATAGTTAAAACGAGTGCCCGTCTGGATCGTTAAGACGATCTGGTGGAATGCATCAGCTCGTCAGACTGAATGTATTAATGACTCTCGAAAGAACCATAAAAACTCAGCGAAATTAAAATAAATTTTGCGGAGCGCCCAGCAAAGCCCCTTATCTTCTAATCTATGTTATGGAACGTATTTTTCCCCACATTTACATTTGACGACAAACCATTAAAATATCTTTACGCTTTACCTTAACCCTTTCTCCATTTCTTACTTTGGGGAAATGGATTGTAGTCTATTTGTTTCATGTTCTTCTTCTTCTTTTTCACCACCTTATCCCACTAGGTGGAGTCGGCACAGCAAATTTTTCTATTCCATTCTCTTCTATCAGCCATTATCTCAATACTCACTCCTCTCTCTCTCATATCGTCATTGACATACTCCATCCACGTCTTCTTCGGTCGACCTCTTCCCCCTCTACCTTGCACTACCATTTCCATACATCTCCTAGTCACATGCATCTTCTCTCTAAGCATCACATGTCCACACCACGCTAACCATCCTATCTCTAATTCGTTAAATTACCTTAATATTTAGTTCCTTAATATTAATAAAATTAATCTTTTGAGTGCTTTCACTAATATGACAAAGATTTTTTATGTTACATCAATGGCAACTTATTTGTGTACAGTGTATTTTTGTATAGTATATTATATTTGAAGCCTTTTTTTAAGTATTGTAATAAAATAAAATAAAACAAGCACTGTAACCCGGCCCTTAATGAGGACTAGTGGTCGCCCAGTAGTCGAAATTCGACTATAATTATTAATTTACATTATAAGTTTCAACATTATTATGGTTTTATTAGACTTTACTTCTATGGACTTTGTTTCTTTAATCACAGACTTCGCCAAGGCTGTACTATAGACAAATAATATTAAAGACAAACAATACTTAATCTATTCTCAATTTGAGCACAGACTTCAACAATAAACAGAGAACAATAAACAAAGAGTATATATGCGTGTGTGTGTCAACTACACGGTAGTGTGTGTAATGTTTTTTTTTGTATAATATTTTTATGCATAATTATTATAATAAAAAATATTAGCATTTTGCACTCTTTCTCTATATTCTCTACACGTGTGGGAAATTTCATACTCCTCCGTCCGCGCAATATTCGGAAAAAGGGTACAAAGATTTTCTTCACATATTAATATATAGCTTCTCTGTACTATAGGAACTATAAACTGATATGCAATCTCAAATACGTTTAAATATATACGTATATAGATATTAACACAACAATCAGGAGCGCTATCCGCACAACCGGGTCAGTCGATATGTATACGATTATATCGCCACAATCTGAGGAACAAATGTTTTTTTAAATATTTGTTTAATGTATTGCGGTTTTGCAATGAGTTCCCCTCCACGGTGTTTCCCGAGCGCTATGACATGTCCTTCTTCAAACGAAACTTGTGGAGAGTACTTAACGGTAGGCAGCGGCTTGGCTCTGCCCCTGGCATTGCTGAAGTCCATGGGCGACGGTAACCAATCACCATCATGTGCGCCGTACCCTTGTCTGCCTGCAAGGGCAATAAAAAAAAGTTTGCTTCGATATTATTTTAATTGTTGAAGGAGAAGCTTTGCACATCCCTAACTATCGCTGATAACGCGATTCACTTAGAAAGCTTTACTGAATTCATCGAAATATTTTCCAAATCAAATTCAAGATTTAGTAGGTTTTAAATCGTTTTTCTAAGAAAATATTGTTCTTTTTTATCAAAGCGTTGAATGATATCAATTTATCTCTACTGTTATTCGTATTATTCTTTTTTTCTTCTACATAAAGTACCTCTGTAGGTAGTCCAGTAATTTGGTCACGCTCGTCTAGACAATTGTATAATATCTCTTTCACCTTGTGATGTTCCTTAACTAGTAACATAAGAGAATAATATATTATTAAATACATATTCATGTGAAACTCGAAATAAATAAAATAATTTCGATATTTAAATCTATAAATATTAATGAATGTCATTGAACTTAACGAAAAAAAAAATAAGAAAATAAAAAAAATGTAAATGTCTTCGTTTAATATGATATGCGTATTTGGTCACTAGACGTCAATATAGTTGACCAGTTTTATCGTTTGCATAAACGTACATATTTTGTTTTGAGTAGATGGGATTTGATAACAGCTACCCGAGCGCCTCCTAAGGAGACCTAACGACTCAAGGGTAACTGCTTCGCGAATGAATCTAACATTATTATTAAAAACATTCAAAGCTGGTGGAAATCCGTAATCTTACGAATCCGGATTTGAAAGGATCACTCGGGACATTGTACCGAAACTACGTAGCAGTAAATCAATAGATGTTTTATTTATAACTAGCGACCCGCCCTCGCTTCGCTTCGGGGACTATCGTTTCAAATCAAATCGAAAAAAGTTTTATTCAACATAAATAAAAGTACATACTTGTTGAACGTCAAAAGAACTACCGTTTATTATTGATTTTATTGAATTTTCTTTTATACTAATCTGAACCTGAGAAAATCATCTAATATAGGATATTGTATAGCGGATTGTTTGTAGTACTAGTAGTACCACCATTAGGTTCTACCACGTGGCTCTCAAAATACTTTGTCAGCACTGCCATTCCCCTATCTATTGCCTAATCACTTCTGGCTGCTTCTGGCAATTCATAGAGCTACAAATGTACTTTACGCCCTTTCTATTGATACACCATTTTAATTGAAGCCTGCCAACGTATTTTGCAGTTTTTCAATATACTTACTTACCTTGAAAGATGGCATAAAATTTTCTTGAGTAGCTTTTGTAGCTCCAAATGATTTAATCTAAAAGCAATTATTGTATTGCTGGATATGAGTCAAAAATGTTTAGAATCTGGTCCATTTCCAAACCAATGAATGTAGAGGCTCCGGTGGCGGTACTAATTGCGTCAATTTGACTTGACCGGTCGCACAACACTCTTATTTTATTCCTACCTATGCTGATAGCCTTGAGAGGATATTTCAGCTTCACCCTAACATGTAGGTGAGCTGACGGTTATTTTACCAATGTCTTACTATTAACTTACTATTACTAATAACGATTCATATAGATTAGCTGGACACTGTATTCTCTTATTGACTCGTTTTCTTTTTCTTTTTAAAAATGTATAATGATGAAAGGGAGAATTTATTTTACAAATGTGCAGTTAGCATCTCACAAATATGTGTGAATTTCAAACTAATTATTTTAAGTTCTCAAAAGCAATATGTAATAGTGCAAACACTAGCTTATTGTCTTAAGAATCTAAAAGGAGTTGGATGAACTCTATTCTGCCACCGAGGTACTACTACGAGTAAAACAACTGCGTTCATCCGCATTTCCAAAGATCTTTTTTGCCACGTACCATCCGGCTTTGGAATGAGCCCCCCCCTCAACGGTGTTTCCCGAGCGCTATGACATGACCTTCTTCGAACGAGACTTGTGCATGGTATTTAGCGGTTGGCATTCTTGATGTCAATGGGCGACGGTAACCACTCACCATCAAGACCGCATGCTCGTTTGTCTACAAGAGCAATAAAAAAATTATTAATACTAATAACAGTGTGTTATGGTTTTTTTTACACCGAGTCCCAGATACCGCTGTTTTTTGTTTTTGTTTAGAATATGAATCGAAAACAAGTTCAATAAAATTCCTAACTGTTTTATATGGCTTCTATTCTTAAACCAGTTGTTTAAACGTTTTCAATGATTTAACTGTTTGTGAAGGCTAGGTCACGCGATCTACTTTTGTACTGTAACTTGATTCGGTGTAGTTTTCCCCGAAATGCTAAGTGAAAAGCGAAGTCAGTTGTTTTTTTTTTTTTTATTGCTGAGATGGGTGGACGAGCTCACAGCCCACCTGGTGTTAAGTGGTTACTGGAGCCCATAGACATCCACAACGTAAATGCGCCACCCACCCTGAGATATAAGTTCTAAGGTCTCACGTATAGTTACAACGGCTGTCCCACCCTTCAAACCGAAACGCATTACTGCTTCACGGTAGAAATAGGCGGGGTGGTGGTACCCACCCGCGCGGACTCACAAGAGGTCCTACCACCAGTAAAAAAGTTTTAGCTATTGGTTGTCTGCCGCTGGTTCTTTGGAGCTTTTGCGTCAACAGTCCCTTCGGTTCTCTTGTTAAGTTTTCTACCAAGATCAATGGGATGGTCTGATGATAGACCTGCAATATGTAGTTAGAACATTACTGATGNAGAAATAGGCGGGGTGGTGGTACCCACCCGCGCGGACTCACAAGAGGTCCTACCACCAGTAAAAAAGTTTTAGCTATTGGTTGTCTGCCGCTGGTTCTTTGGAGCTTTTGCGTCAACAGTCCCTTCGGTTCTCTTGTTAAGTTTTCTACCAAGATCAATGGGATGGTCTGATGATAGACCTGCAATATGTAGTTAGAACATTACTGATGATAGGACCTTTTGTTAGTCCGCACGGGTAGGTACCACCGCTCTGCCTATGCCGTGCCGTGTAGCAGTAATGCAGTAGTTGTAACTATACTGAGACCTTAGAACTTATATCTCAAGGTGGGTGGCGCATTTACGTTGTAGATGTCTATGGGCTCCAGTAACTACTTAATACCAGGTGGGCTGTAATCTCGTCCACTCATATTATTATAAGCAATAAAAAAAAAGTTGCCGACCCCTGGGATGATCTGATGATGAACCTGCTATATGTAGTTAGATCATTAGTTTTGCAGAAAATGCTTTTTATTTATAACGTTTAAATAACGAATTACAATGTCAGGTTTTAAAATGTATTTTTATTTTATGTTAAAGGTTCGTTCTTCTCGTGCGCTTTTGGTTCGATGCCGTTGGCGATCGCTTATCTGGTGCCCTTTGACTATTCACTAATGATGACATCCGGGATATTCATCAAATTAAGGTAACAAATCACTTAAAGCGATACTTCCTACGGCCGTTTCTGTACTTTTAAGATGAGGCGGCATTAAAAAGTTAAAGTTTTGCGAAATCAAGCTTTGAAAACAGCTGTAAAAGGATGTTGCAATTAATAATGGTAAAAACGAGAGTCTCTATTAACCCATAGACACAGCCAACTGAGTTTCTTGCCGGATCTTCTCAGTGGGTCGCGTTTCCGATCCGGTGGTAGGTTCTGCGAAGCACTGTTCTTACTAGGGCCAGTGTTAGCAAAACTCCGGCGTGAGCCCCGTGAGCTCACGTACATGTTAGGGCGAAGCTGGAATAGCCTCTCAAGACTACCAGCATAGGTAGGAAAAAAAGAAAGATAGTCTCCATTTTCTACTTGTAAACCTGACAGCTCTGCAGAGGGTTCAATTCCCGGTCGAAATCAGTGCCATTGCTTACACAGTTTAATAGCGTATGAGAAAATACATACATACATGCACAGTTTCAAGTTTATGCATGTTGATCTTTTTTTTAAATTACGTTGGAAATCTGAAAACATCCAACACTATCTCTCGTGCGGTCATATCTTAATGCCAGTGACTTCATGCGATATTTCGTGTTTTCTTGTATACTTAAGAATTAGCTTTCTGAACGCAGCTATCATCCGCGTGCTCAGCAGTGGGATAATGGGGCAATGTGCTTTCCCAGAGCTCTAGCCATTTCCGTACCGAATTTCGTCAAATCAAATGGTTCGAACATGAAAACGTTACAGAAGTAACTCTATCTTTCGTGTTTCGAACCGTTTTTATTCGTCAAAGTTTAACTTTTCTGTTAAGGGTCGATTCTCTTCACGGACTCCTTGACGTCGCAACACAGATGCCGTCTATCATGAGACTATGTTTTAATTACCATATTGTTGGCCAAAAGCGACAAGTTTGGTGCGACTTGTGGTGGAAGTGACAGCGTGTGAACTGTGTGGGAATACGATTAAAATTGTTTGTGATTTTCAGCTCTATTCCTCGCTACGTGGCGTGGATCCGCTACCTGTCCTGGCTGATGTACTCGAACGAAGCGATGTCCATAGTCCAGTGGGACGGCGTTGAGAACATCAGTAAGTATTTAAGGAAAGACATGCACGTTTGCACAAATTAATACGCTATTCATTACGTCTTACTTTTTCTTCATATTGTCGTTTCTGCTCAAAATGTTAGAGGTTCATGAAATAATATTTTCACCTCAGCAGCTCAAACATGCCGCTTTTACTGCGAGACAACAGTGAACAAAACGCGATTTTGATTGGGTCGAAGTAGCTTTTTAATTTTTCAATCTTCAGTGACACGAATTGACATTGTTCAGCCATAAATTTGAAACATTCGAATTTTACTGTGCTCTGTCTCTTTCACGTGCCTATAAAAAAGCGAGTGAAAAAAACAAACCCCTTCGAAGTTCGATTTTGGATTTCGACCTCAAAGAAAACACGTTCGGAAACGCGTAATACCCCAAAATTTAAAGATATTTGTAAGAAAGAAATTGATTTTTTTTAATAGTTATTTCAATCTATTCATGTTCATTTCAATGTCTCCTAAGTAATACCTATGTGTTCTCATTGCTGAGGTGAAAAGTTATGTGTGCTACACGGGAGCAAAGTTTTTTGCATCTCGTGCTTTTGAGTCCTCATTACGCTCAGGACTCTAACCCTGAATCCTTCGCTTGCTCGGGACTCAAAATCAGCACTCGAAACAAACAAAAAAAACAACTTTGCTCTCGTGTTGCAAAACAGACGTCTTGATTGATAAAGAATATGTTAAAAGGTTCCGTGACATAGACACAGGCTAAGACAATAAAAAGGTGCTATAATAGAAAATCCCTTTTTTGTTGCAATGATTATATTAAGGGTGTTTTTTTTTTTGTTGTACTCTCCTTTATTACGGAACAACTATACAATAAACGACGGTTATTGTCACCCGAAACTGGTGTTCGGGCTTCCCCGAGTTTGTCGTATTGTTCAATTGTTATTGGCGCCCGTTTCGATTACAAGTAAAACATAAAGTACATCAAAACGAAATACCAGATTTATTGTAGGGTGTGTGTATGTGTGTGTGTGTGTGTGATAAAAACACACAGCAACACACGCCTACCAAATTAAGGCAATGATAATACAAAAATACAGTCAAGCTTTTGCTCGTTTGCTATAAGACCTGTGTGCTTAGTACGAGTATTTTAACTTCTCGATCGCCTAAAAGTTAACTCAAATTTGTATGGAGTTGGAAAAGCGCCCCTAGCGGCAAACGAGGGGAAGCTTTTCCAACTCCATACAAATGTAAGTTAACTTTTACGCGATCGAGAAGCACACTGGTATTTATTTTTTTGCTTAGATGGGTGGAAGAGCTCACAGCCCACCTGGTGTTAAGTGGTTACTGGAGCCCATAGACATTTACAACGTAAATGCGCCACCCACCTTGAGATATAAGTTCTAAGGTCTCAAGTATAGTTACAACGGCTGCCCCACCCTTCAAACCGAAACGCATTACTGATTCACAGCAGAAATGGGCACGGTGGTGGTACCTACACGTGCGGACTCACAAGAGGTCCTACCACCAGTAATTACGCAAATTATAATTTTGCGGGTTTGATTTTTATTAGGTACACGATTATATTCCTTCACCGTTAAAGTTAATCGTGAACATTTGTTGAGTACGTATTTCATTAGAATCGGTACCCGCCTGGGATTCGAACACCGATGCATCGCTCAACACGAATGCACTGGACGTCTTATCCTTTAGGCCAAAACGACTTCTATTACTAGCTACTGCCTCGTGTTTCAGCGTGTACAAACTCGAATTCAACTGGCGTTCCTTGCGTGAGCACCGGCGACGAAGTTCTCATGCAGTACGATTTCACGAGCAGCAACCTCTGGCTGGATATATCGGCGTTGCTGCTGCTCTACATCACCTTCCATCTCCTCGCGCTGCTGGCCCTTAGATACAGAACGAGAAGAAAATGATCTACACTGCACGAAATGTTCGGGGTTATAACGATTAAATGTGATGTAAATATTTTTAAATAAATAAATACCTCTTTTATGTTATTGTTTTTTTTTTTGCTTGATTGTTTCGATACTGGTTGTTTTTTTTTTACTGCTTAGATGGGTCGACGAGCTCACAGCCCACCTGTTAAGTGGTTACTGGAGCCCATAGACATCCACAACGTAAATGCGCTACCCTTGAGATATAAGTTCTAAGGTCTCAAGTATAGTTACGGCTGCCCCGCCCTTCAAACCGAAACTACGTGGTGGTACCCACCCGCGCGGACTCACAAGAGGTCCTATCAACAGTGAATCAACCGACCGAGTGAATCAACTTGGCTGATCAACTTTAGAAGACATCAAATTGTTATTACAGTTGTAGTGGCCTAAAGTAAAAGTCGCCCGGTGTACTCATATCGGGCGATACGACTGTGTCCGGGTAAAAATCCTACAGATTGAGTTTATTGTATTATAATTTAGAGACAGCGATTTAGAACTCATGACTCGAGGTGGACTGTATTTATATTGTTGATGTCTATGGGCTTTGGTAAGCACTAAAGGCCAGGAAAGCCAATGTCAGCTTGTTCACCCAACTAAGCAATAAAAAAGACTATCAAGTTTTCCAAGGAAATGCGTACATGTAATACGTTTTGTAAATACCTATCTAACCCGTAATGTACAAAATTAGGCGAAGAACTATTTTCACCTGTTTTCTTTAACAATTTTACGAATTGTTTTCGTTTAACACTTATCGAGGAGCTTTGGACCTTTTCATTAAAAAAAAAAAACTTCGAAAATGCTTGTTTAAATTTTATCTTAAACATTATGTTAGGGGAAATCTTTCACCTTGCGGATAGTGTTACTCGCTATCTCGACTCTTATCACTTAGAGCGACATCTCGGACATCTCTGAGCAATCGTTGTAATTCTAGTCTGATTCGATCAAATCTTCTGAAGCTTGCTAACACTACAAATCATCCGCTTCAGACGTCTTTCCTCTTCAACCCGATTCAGGTCATGTAGCCACCGGTACCCAGATACAGATATATCGAACGGTTCACCGACAACTTCACATTGCCCTTCTTTATTGGAGGAATAGGAAACATAACCCAATCTACGCTTTAAAAGTTGAACAATCCACCAAGAAAAGGGTACCTACGTGTTGTCAAAGTCAGAAAAAGCAATAACCTCTAAAGAAAGATTTACTTAAGAGAAAACAAATATTACTGTGAATTCATGGTACATTTTTTAATTTTTTTTTATATCTTGTGTATTGCTAAGAATATTAAGGTCGTTAATTTAAAAATGCATTATTTTATTTAAGCATTAACACAACAATCAATAATATAGTGAGATAATTGGCACACCTGCCATCTACACGTGAAACATATTAAGTAATGTTAAAGTAAAACAAAACTAGAGACTTAGTTCTATTAGACTTCAGTAGATGGCAGCACGTCTGTCATTGTTTTTGTACCTGTCCTAACCGGCAAGCAACGGCTGCGTCGCCGCGCGCAAGCGTAGTTCGAATTCATCCGCCATATTCGTCGTGTCAGACGGCGTGCAGCGCACGGCTGTTACATGTTTTGTCGTAAAATGCATTAATTCTATGACACAGAGTCTTCAATGGTGCTTGTTTTATACAACCTATATAATAAATATNGCACGTCTGCCATTGTTTTTGTACCTGTCCTAACCGGCAAGCAACGGCTGCGTCGCCGCGCGCAAGCGTAGTTCGAATTCATCCGCCATATTCGTCGTGTCAGACGGCGTGCAGCGCACGGCTGTTACATGTTTTGTCGTAAAATGCATTAATTCTATGACACAGAGTCTTCAATGGTGCTTGTTTTATACAACCTATATAATAAATATGCGATCTGATGGACTTCTGCATGGATACTCGCGTCGTTTGTTAACTAATAAACGTGCATCGAACTGTGCATTCGTGTGTTTATGATAACAGAATATTAACAGTACGTAATCCGCGGTTGTGTATTTTTTTTAAATAATCCCGTAGTTTTTTTGTGAAGGCTTAGTGGTATTATGCAACGTGACATTCCTGTGGCCTTCGATTAATGTGACCGTGTTGAAGGTGCTATTTGAGGTTAAAATGCAGCTTGGATTATGAGCGATAGCGCCGAGCCATCAGGTTAGTAAGACATTATTTTATCTGAACCGATAGCGCGAAGTGCTTATTTATCGTGTGTCCTACATTCGTCTCGTCACAATATTTACCCGAACCACTATGTGACATCCTTGACGAATTTTGTTTTAATAAATGTCTCAACATAATGTAACCTCAAGTTAAGTTCTGAATTCGAAATGTCCAAAGGTTAAAAGAGAGGAACTTCGAAGCAATATAATCCGATCGCCTGGATCGTCTTACAGAATGTCGTAAAGTTATCGAATATACGTTCTACAATTGTTAAAAACTCGTTGGTTTCTTCAATCGAGCAAGAGGACAGGCGGCTTGTTGCCGGTCGAGGCAACGGTCCGCGGCATCCGTACGCGTTGGCGGGCTCGGCACGGCCGCTCGCCAAGGGAATGCAACCTCAAAGGAATCACAAAAGGACCAACGAGAAACAAGGACGAACTTTTTAATCAACCAAATCTTTTTATTGAATCGTTTATCGTCTTTCGATAGTGGAATGCATTCAAGTTCATTGGCATTGGGCATTTCGAGTCGACGAAATCTTGGTCTATGGAAATGTTTACAATAACGTTAAAACAGAAATAGGTGGTTTGCTTTACATGTAAACTGGACTATAAACTGAAGCTAACTAATGTAAACACAATTAATACTTATTTTAGTAAACCGGGATAAATGTATCTCACAGGTATAAATGTTCATAAATACAATTATGTTAATTTTAATTAATATCTAAACGCCATAGAATAAGTTTGTTTTAGAATGATGTCAGTGATTTCGTCAATACATTGAACGCCTATCTAAATCGTAAATATTGTAAATTATAAATTCATATTTAATTATTTAGAAGAACACCTACGATTCTTACTTTCAAACCAGTTTTTCAAGTTCCAACATTTGCTTTATAGTTTAGAGAATTCTATTGTTTCACTCATCGTAACTTTGGTTTGTAGCAATAAAGTAATGCACCACCTGATAATTATCTATCATTCATGTTGATGATTGCTTATGTTTTTGACGACGATAGCCAACCTTTAAGCCCATCAAACGTAACTGGTTACCATTATTTAGAGACTTTAGCAAAATTAGAAGCACAGCCAGTAGCTGTGCCTATTGTCATCGGTTGTCTTTCGACCCCGTTTAAGAAGAACATGTCCGACCGACATGAGAACACTGAATGTTGAAGTTTCTAGAAAGGGTGACTGAGAGGTTTTTAAAGAACGCGGCAGAAAAGACTAATAGAATCCAATCAGTTAGATTCGGCGACGGATGGTCCGTTCGGAAAAAGAATATGTGGGGCTATCTCTAACTCTCATAAGCACTTCATACAAAATGTGGTATAAGATACAGACCAACTAAGTCATTCCATACTGCTCTGTCAAGAGAGTACCGCGAAAAGATCTATGATAGACAAAATGTTATTTAGTGGTAAAGAAGTCGCTGGAGCCATATCTGGTGAATAATGCGGTTTCTCGATGGTATTTGGTGAGTTTTTCGTCAAAATACATTTACAGTGATGGCTTTGTGCGAAGCCGCATTATCGTGGTGCAAATTCGAAGAATTTTCTTTCCACAAATCTGGTCTTTTTCGTCGAGTTTGCTCTCTTAAACACTGCATAGCGCTTAAATAATATTTTTTATTTGCCTCTTGAACTTCCGGGGAGAATTATGAGTGCAGAACACTATAGTCAAAGAAAACAGTCAACATGACTTTAGCTTTCGATCGACTTTGAGGTGTTTTTTTCGATTTCGGTACAGTTGGAAGACGTCACTAGTAACAATGCGTGAATTTTGAGTCAGAATTTACTAGTTCTAGCATGTCCTCAGCCACTATTATGTGGTTAAGTTTTTAGAGAAAATTTTGGTGTTTTGGGATTAGCTGAGCGACAACCTGTTTCAATGATGAGGATTCAATTCAGTCACTGTTTTTTCACTATGTTAACTTCAGTTGCAGACGTTGATACCAAAGCGAGGCAAGTCTTCTATTTCTTCTATTTTATTTTAACGGCCGTCTGGTGTAGTGGTAAGTGACATGGTCACTACACAAGGGGGTCGCGGGTTCGAATCCCGCCAAGGGAAGATATTTGTATGATAAATATAAATGTATTTTCCATGGTTATGGATGTTATTAAATATTAAATATATGTATGTGTATAATAAAAATCTTACATTTATATCCGTTATCTAGTACCTGTAACAAAAGTTCTTTACGAACTTATCACGGGACCAGTTAACGTGGCGTGATTGTTAGTAAATATTTATTTATTTATTTATCTCAACCGCTTTTGAACGCTTGTTTCATAATCATAAGCCCGTGTTTTTGATAAAGTCTATTCATCGCAGGCCTTCTGCAATTTTTTCTGTGTCTCCGTGACGGAATTTAACTGGAGATGCAAAATTTAAGACAAACTTTTTGTTCTATTTTTTTTTTTCATTTGGAATTTGCAATACACCCTAGATATTAACTAAAAACAGCACTGTATTTATCTCATAGACTGAGCAAGTAACTCGAATGGATACTAATCCATCACGTAATTTTTTACTGGTGGTAGGACCTCTTGTGAGTCCACACGGGTAGGTACCACCGCCTCGCCTATTTTTGCCGTGAAGCAGTAATGCGTTTCGGTTTGAAGGGTGGGGCAGCCATTGTAACTATACTTGTGACCTTAGAACTTATATCTCAAGGTGTGTGGCGCATTTACGTTGTAGATGTCTATGGGCTCCAGTAACCACTTAATACCAGGTGGGCCGTGAGCTCGTCCACACATCTAAGCAATAAAAAAAAAAACGTAACCCATTCCCTAGATGACATTCTTGTACTCTGTATCGCAATAAGCAAAACCGCGAATACAAACTAATGGTCCGTGCATAGTG